TGGCAGGCTGGGCCGGGGTGGGGGGCCGGAGCCACGGCCGGCCTCGGCCCGCCGCGCCCCGCGTGGGCTGTGCTGCCTGCACTGCTGTGTGCGTGGCTTCCCACTCGTGCCCGGGTGCTTCCGATGGATGGGGGAGGAGGCTGCTGCAGATGCAGCTGGCGCAGCGTGTGTGTGTGCGCGTGCCCGTGTGTGTGTGTGCACGCCCGTGTGTGTGTGTGTGCACGCCCGTGTGTGTGTGTGCACGCCCGTGTGTGTGTGCACGCCCGTGTGTGTGTGTGCACGCCCGTGGGATCGTAGTACAGTGTGGGAGAGGCTGGAAAGGCTGGAGGCTGAGTTTAGAAGGCTGAAGGAAGCTGCAGTCAGTGACTCACGCCTGTAATACCAGCTACTCTGGAGGTTAAGATCTGAGGATCTCAGTTCAAAGCCAGACCCTGCAGGGAAAAAAAAAAATCCATGAGACTCGTATCTCTAGTTAACCCCCCCCCGAAAAAAAAAAGAGAAAGAAAGAAATGAGACAGAAGCGGAGCTGTGGCTCAAGTGGTAGAGTGTCAGCCTTGAGCCAAAAAGCCCCATTGGACAGGGCCCAGGCCATGAGTTCAAACCCCAGCACTGGCACCAAAAAAAAAAAGTAGGAGTCAGAGGGCTGTAGCTCACGCCTGTAATCCCGGCTACTCGGGAGGCTGAGATCTGAGGATTGAGGCTCAAAGCCAGCTCTAGGCAAGAAAGTCTGTGAGACTCTCATCTCCACTCAGCCAGCACAAAGCTGGAAATGGAGCTGTGGCTCAAGCAGTAGACTACCAGGCCTGGAACAGAAAAAGCCAAAAGATGGTGCGCTAGGCCCTGAGTTCGAATCCCACTACTGGCACCAGGAACCCCTGCTGTCTCCTTAGGCCTTGTCTTTTCCCAGGTTTGTTCCGAGCTGCTGTTCCCAGCGGAGCCTCCACGGGCATCTACGAAGCCCTGGAGTTAAGAGATGGAGATAAACAGCGCTATTTAGGCAAAGGTGAAGCCTTTGTGTTTGCCAGTCTGTGCGATCAGCGTTATTTCTCCCCTCCCCCTCCCCCCCAGTCCAGCTTCTCCCCTGTTCCCTCTGGGGAAAGGCTTGCCCCCGGCCTAGTCTAGCGATGCTTCTCCCCCCTAGGTGTCCTCAAAGCCGTGGATCATATCAACAGTACTCTGGCACCAGCCCTCATCAGCTCAGTAAGACCCCCCCCTTTTTTTTTCTGGGGACGCAGGACCAGAATTCTGGAAAGGAGAGAAGGAGACTCTTTATCTTTCAAGGATCAGAGTTTGAAGGGGGGAAGAGATGGAAACGCTCGATCACTGCCACCTGTTCTAGGAGAGCTCTTTCAGGTCCCTGTCTGGCACCTGAAGCTCAAGCCTGTAATCCCAGCAGCTCAGGAGGCTGCGATCTGAGGATCGCGGTTGGAAGCCAGCCCCCGGGCAGGAAAGTCTATGAGATTCTTTTTATCTCCAGTGACTCACTCCCACCACCACCAAGAAAAAAAGCCACAAGTGGCGGCGCTGTGGCTCAAGTGGTAGAGCGCCAGCCCTGAGCAAAGAAAAAAGCCCTGGGTTCAAGCCCCGAGGATGGCAAAAACTAAAAAAAACCCACACAAAAGTTGCCATGATTCTGCTCCAGGGGCCTGGGGAGGCTGTGTGTGCGGGTTTGGGGGGCCTGTGCCTTCGGGCGCACCCCTGGGTGACGGGGGGCTCTGTCCGCAGGGTATCTCCGTGGTGGAGCAGGAGAAACTAGACAATCTGATGTTGGAGTTGGACGGGACCGAGAACAAATGTGAGCAGGGGCGGGGCCAAGCTGGTGGGCGGGGCGTGCGGTGGGCGTGGTCAGGGGTGGGCGGGGCCTCCTCCCGGGGAAGCGCTGGGCCTGGCGTCCTGGCTTCTGAGTGTAATCCAGGCTGAGACTTGGGGGGGCGGTTTGTGGGGGGAGCATCCCAGTTCGAAAGCCAGATGGGGGGGGGCAGAAAAGGCCCAGAGACCAAGTGAAGCACCAAAAAACCTGCAGTGGCGTTGTGGCTCAAAGGGTAAGAGCATCAGCCTTGAGCAGTGAAGTCCAGCCAGAGCACGAGGCTGTGAGTTCGAGTCCTCACGTTTCTTTCTTTGGCTGGGATCTTTGGGGGAGACCGGATGAATGGAGAGGGGACTCCTCTCTCTCTCTCTCTCTCTCTCCTCTCTCTCTCTCAGCCAAGTTTGGCGCCAATGCCATCCTGGGCGTGTCCCTGGCCGTGTGCAAAGCCGGTGCAGCTGAGCGTGACTTGCCTTTGTACCGACACATCGCCCAGCTGGCGGGAAACTCCGACCTCATCTTGCCCGTGCCGGTGAGCACCGCCTTGACCCCCTTCCCTGGGGCCTTCGTGGATGGGAGGATGATCAGGGCAAATGGAAGCCGGGCTCTGGTGCGCACACCTGCCATCCCAGCTGCGCAGGAGGCTGAGATGTGAGGATCGTGGTTGGAGGCCAGCCTGGGTGGGAAAGTCTGTGAGGCCGGGAGAGGGTGGGGGACTCGCGGGTGGGGGGGATGGCATTTGACCTTTCTGTCTACCCATGGATCCCCAGGCCTTCAACGTGATCAATGGCGGCTCCCACGCAGGCAACAAGCTGGCCATGCAGGAGTTCATGATCCTCCCTGTGGGGGCCGAGAGCTTCCGAGATGCCATGCGCCTGGGGGCCGAGGTGTACCACACCCTCAAGGGTGTCATCAAAGACAAGTACGGCAAAGACGCCACCAACGTGGGGGACGAAGGCGGCTTCGCCCCCAACATCCTGGAAAACAGTGAAGGTGAGGCCCACAAGACCCGCCTCCTCTCCCCCTCCTAGGCTTTTCCAGGGGGGGGGGTCACCCACCGCCCCGGCCTCGGGAGGGACGGTAGAGGGCCCTGGAATTCTTACAAACCCCCCACGAACTCGGCTGGGCACCCACGGCTCCTGCCCATCACCCCAGCTCCTCAGGAGGCTGAGGGTTGAGGATCGCTGCTTGAGGCCAGCTGGGATAGAAAAGACTGAGAAAAGCCAGGGCGCCAGTGGCTCACACCCATCATCCCAGCCACTCAGGAGGCTGAGATCTGAGGATCATGGTTCAAAGCCAGCCCAGGCAGGAAAGTCCCTGAGACTCTATCTCCAAGGAACCACCAGAAAACCAGAAGTGGAACTGTGGCTCAAGTGGTAGAGCGCCAGCCTTGAGTGAAAGAGCTCAGGGACAGCGCCCAGGCCCAGAGTTCAAACCTTCTGACTGACCAAAAAAAACGAAGGAAAGAAAAAGAATATGTTAAGGTTCAGAAGCGAAATTGCCTGCATCTATTTGAACCAGAGTTGATGATCTCTCCAACTCATTTTTTTGCTGGTAGTGGGACTTGAACTCAGGACCTCCACATTCTCAGTCATCTGCTTTTCCTCCCTCCCTTACTTGCTTGCTTTCTTCCTTTCTTCCCTCTCTCTCTCTCTCTCTCTCTCTCTCTTTCTTTCTGTCATGGGGCTTGAACTCTGGGCCTGGGTGCTGTCCCTCAGCTCTTCAGCTCAAGGATAGCGCTCTACCACTTGAGCCACAGCGCCACTTCCCTTTCTTGAGTGGTTCATTGGAGATCAGAGTCTCACAGACTTTCCTGCCCGGGCTGGCTTTGAACCATGATCCTCAGATCTCAGCCTCCTGAGTCGCTGGGATTATAGGCGTGAGCCACCACACCCCAGTCCTGTGCTTCGTGTTTTATGTTCCCATCAATAATGCTACCTTGTCACATCATCATCATCATCATCATCATGCCAAGTTTCATGGTCCCAGTGGAATCCAGCTTCTAGAAACAACTTCCCTCCCCATCTGCCTGGAAGATGGTTTGTCTTCAATCCGGGCACCGTCCCCCCCCAGACACACCCCAGCCTCACCTTCTCCAATCGCTGTCTCCCTCCTCCCTCCCGCTGCTTATACCCGTCCCCTGCACCCCATCTGTAGCGCTGGAGCTGGTGAAGGAGGCCATCGACAAGGCGGGGTACACGGAGAAGATCGTCATCGGTATGGACGTGGCTGCGTCCGAGTTCTATCGCGATGGCAAGTACGACTTGGATTTCAAGTCTCCGGCTGACCCTTCGCGCTATATCACCGGTGACCAGCTGGGGGCGCTCTACCAGGACTTTGTCAGGGATTATCCGGGTAAGAGGCAGGGAGGGGGGGGCGGTCAGGTTAGAGGTCACTCAGGGGGGAAGTGGGGGGCCAGGGAGCAGGGCCAAGCAGCCTCCTGCAAAGGTGGACTTTGTACACTGTGTGAGATGCCTTTGTGTGTGTGTGTGCGCGTGCACACCAGTCCTGGGATTTGAACTCAGGGCCCGGGTGCCAGCCAGGCTGGTGCTCTACCACTTGAGCCACACTTGGCCTTCTGGTGTTTTGCTGGTTCACTGGAGATCAGAGTCTCCTGGACTTTCCTGCCCAGGCTGGCCTCGAACCGTGATCCTCAGATCTCAGCCTCCCGAGGGGCTGAGATGACAGGTGTGAGGGAGACACTGGGTTGGGCCGTTGTGTTTGTGTAGGGAACTGATTAGAGTTAGGGACTCTGAGCCCCTCCTGCTGTGTGAAAGTTCTAGAAGGAGCCAGAGTTGGAGAGAGGGAAGAAACACCACCAGGCGGGGAAGTATGACACTGTGGTGTTCTCTCTCTCTCTCTCTCTCTCTCTTTTATTTACTCATTTAATCTTAATTGATTTTTCTTTTTTTGGCTGGTCGTGGGGCTTGAGCTCAGGGCCTGGCCCCTGTGTCCCTGAGCTTTTGTGTTCAGGGCTGGCGCTCTACCGCTTGAGCCATCCCTGTACTTCCGGCTTTTCGGGTGGTGAATGGGCGCTAAGAGGCTCATGGGCTTTTCCTGGCCTCGAGCTCCGATCCTCAACCCCCAGCCTCCGGAATAGCCAAGATCGCCCAGCTACCGGTCCCCCTGTGCGGTCTCTCCGCAGTGGTCTCCATCGAGGATCCGTTTGACCAGGATGACTGGGCGGCCTGGTCCAAGTTCACGGCCAACGGCGGCATTCAGGTGGTGGGGGACGATCTGACGGTGACCAATCCCAAGCGCATCGAGCGGGCGGTGGAAGAGAAGGCGTGCAACTGTCTGCTGCTTAAAGTCAACCAGATCGGCTCGGTCACGGAGGCCATCCAGGCGTGAGTGACCCCCGGGGACCGCTGACCAGCACTCTGCGCATGCGCGCGTGCGGCCCCGCCCTCCTCCCTACAGCCTGGGATTGGACAGCGATCCGCCCTGAGCTGCGGGTGTTAGACCCCAGGTTGGGGCTGGGGGGGGGGAGGACGTGGAGGAGGGGGCTCATTGCCCGTGTGCGGACACAGGTGCAAGCTGGCCCAGGAGAACGGCTGGGGGGTCATGGTGAGCCACCGCTCGGGGGAAACTGAGGACACCTTCATTGCCGATCTAGTGGTGGGACTCTGTACGGGCCAGGTGAGTGAGGGACGTCTTTGGGGGTTCAGGCTTCCAGCCTCGGGGGGGGGGGGGCGCCGTGGCTCCCGCCTGTCATCCTGGCTACTCAGGAGGCTGAGATCTAGAGGATCGTGGTTCCGTGAGACTCTAAAAGAACAACAGCCAAGTGCCCATGGCCCCTCCTGTCAGCCTAGCTTTTCAGGAGGCTGAGATGTGAGGTTGGAGGTTTAAGGCCAGCCTAGGCCGGCCGGCCTAGACTCGCCATGCCGAGAGCCTCTTATCTCTGATTAGCCAGCAAAAAGTCAAGTGGAGCCGTGGTTCAAGTGGTAGAGCACCAACCGTAAAAAAATAAAAGCCAAGCAAGTATATGGAGATTTGTGTTTAAGCCTTAGAACTGACAGGAAGGTAAGAAGGAAGGAGGGGGGGAGGGAGGGAGGGATACAAATAATAAAGCATGGCCAGTAAAATTTGCATTACAGAGAAATAAGTACTAATTGCAGTATTTAAAACTGGGTGCTGTGGCTCACGCCTGTAATCCCAGCTGCTCTGGAGGCTGAGATCTAGAAGGGCATGGTTCAAAGCCAGCCCGGGCAGGAAAGTCCATGAGACGCTTATCTCTAATCAACTACCAGATAACCTGAAGTGGCGCTGTGGCTCAGGTGGTAGAGTGCTCACCTTGAACAAAAAAACTCAGGAACAGCACCCAGGCCCTGAGTTCAAGTCCTCCCACCGCCCAAAGAAAAGAAAACTGCAGTATTTAGACATCCCACCATAAACAAATACAGTACACAACACAAAGCAGGGTTAGAGGTGTGGCTCAAGTGGTATTGGACCAGCTGAGCAAGATGGTCGCTGAGGCCCTGAGTTCAAATCTCAGGAGCAGCACAAGAAGAAGCGTAGAGGATGGGAACAGAAGTGAAGGGGGGTGGGGGAAGAGCTGCTTTTCTTTTGGAATATTTCAGATCAAGACGGGCGCCCCCTGCCGCTCGGAGCGTCTGGCCAAGTACAACCAGCTAATGAGGTGAGCGGCCGGTCCCCTTCCCGGCCACGTCCGGAAGTAGATGACCTGGAAGCCAGTGGCTTTACTGATGGCGGGTGGTGAGCTAGCAGCTCTCAGGGAAAGCCAGATGTGTTTCTGAGTCCTTAGAAAAAGGAAACTCAAAAACCACATAGTGAGCTGGGCGTTGGTAGCACAGGCCTGTAATCCCAGCCAGACTCTGGAGGCTGAGATCTGGAGGATCGTCGTTCAAAGCCAGTCCAGGCAGCATAGTGCTTAAGACGCTTGATCTCAGTGCCAAAAAGCCGGAAGTGGAGCTGTGGCTCAGGTGGTAGAGCGCCAGCCTTGAGAGGAAAAACTCAGGCACAGCGCCCCGGTCCTGAGTTCGAGTCCCAGTAGTACACACACACACACACACACACACACACACACACACGGCCTAGGCATGCAATCAGGATCCTCTGCTTTCTCCGACTTGTTTCTTTCTGTCTGCTCTCAGAATTGAAGAAGAACTTGGGGGTGAAGCCCGCTTTGCTGGGCACAACTTCCGTAACCCCAGTGTGCTCTGAGCCCCTCCGTCCACCGCACCCCGTCTTCCTGGAGCCTCCTTGCTGTCCTGCGGTAGCTCACCTGCCCCCCACCTTGAGCCCGCCCCGGGGGGCACCCACGAACCCCTCCCTGGCACACTTGCGCCCCTCCTGCTCGGCTTTCCTCCACCCTGCGCCCCATCTTCCCCCTCCCCTCCCAGGTGTGCAAATTCTCTTCTCTCCCTGGCTTCCTTCCTGTCTCCCCCCATTCTGGAGAAACCGGAAATGAGAATGTGGGTTTGAAGGGTGCTCTCCCGCGCCCCGCCTCCGGCAGAGCGAACTGTGCGCCTGCGCCCTGGGCCTCAAGGTTGCTGATCGGGCGGATCGCTTTTCTTCATGGCCTTTGCGACACTGCAGCGGGGCCGCAAATGGGGCCTAGGCCGAGTCCTGGCCCCTGCGGGCGCCTGCGCAACAGTCCTTCCTGTATTCATTCATTCATTCATTCATTCACTCACTCACTCTACTCATCCTTTTGCCATCCTGCCTGAGGCCTCACGCTGGGCCTGACTGTTGACAAAGCTATGCATCTGGATGCCATGCTGGGGGGCTAGGGGTTTGTTCACACGACTCGGGGTACAGGGTGAATGGAAAAAGAGCCCTCTGTGTGCGGGCCTGGACCGAAGCCTGGGTGGACCAAGAGTTGGGGCTGTGTCTGGGGGGGAAACGCGCTCCCCTGCGAACCCCACCCCCTCCCCAGCCCCCTAGGTCTCCCCTTCTTTTCTCCAGCTGTAGCCGTCCAGCCGCCATCCTGCAATCGCCCCCAGGCGCCGCCATTAAAGTCTGAATCCCTGCAACGCGGTGTGCGGCGTCTCTTGGACAGCTGTGTGTGTGTGGTGTGTGTGTGTGGGGGGCAAGCTGTGTGCAGTAGCGCACGCCTGTCATCCCAGCTACAGAGGCTGAGATCTGAGGATCGCGGTTCAAAGCCAGCCCAGGCAGGAAAGTCTGCGAGACTCTGATCTCCAGTGAACCAGTAAAAAAGACAAGGGGAGCCGTGGCTCAAGTGGTAGAGCGCCAGTCCTGAGTACAAAAGCTAAAGGGACAGTGCCCAGGCCTTGAGTTCGAGTCCCAGGACTAGCACAAAAGAGAAAAGATTGGGCCACTGCGGCTGGGGGGACGGGGGGAGTCCTGCCCAGGGTTCGAGTGATTTGGTGCCTTTTTTATATTGTGTCAGTCGTGGGGCTTGAACTCAGGGCCTGGGCGCTGTCCCTCAGCTCTTCAGCTCAAGGCGTGCGCTCTACCACTTGAGCCACAGCGCCACTTCCGGCTTTTTTCTTTTTGCTTATGTGGTGCTGAGGAATCGAACCCAGGGCCTCAGGCATGGGAGGCGAGCACTCTGCCACTGAGCCACCTGCCCAGCCCCTGAGCTTTGTTTTTGCTCAAGGCTGGGTGCTCTACCACTTGAGCCACAGCTCCACGTCCGGTTTAATTGAAGATAAGATTCTCCTGGACTTTCCTTCTGACCCACAATCTTCAGCATCTCAGCCTCCTGAGTAGCTCGGATTACAGGGGTGAGCACCGATGCCCGACGAGAGACCCCTCTTGGGGTTGAGAGCATGCGTGGGCACCGTGTATATGCATTTGGGGGAGGTGGCAGAGGGGTTCTGGAATAGGGTAGGACTTCACGGGTCCCCCCAAAAAGACAAAGGATTGGAGAGGGTGGAGGCTGGGGAGAAGAGCCCTGAGGAAACACAATCCTCCAGCGAATTCAAGATTCCAAGACCTGAGCTGGGCGGGCTCCAGGCTGGAGAGACCGGGGAGAGGACACCAGAGGGGTGGGTGGATAGAAGATTCTAGAACACCTCAGTGCTTATGGAGACTTAGTTTCGAGGTGCTCAACCCAGGGGGCTTGGGGGACAAAAAAAACCCATGGTAAGACAGACACAGACAGACAGACAGAAACAGAGAGAAGAGTCACAACGTGGCCGCTAGAGTGCGCCGCAGGACACAGACCCGCAGGCTCCGATTCTTTCCACCTCCAGGGCGCCTCTCCAGAGCTTGGAGCAGGCCCCGGCCTGCTTCCAGGGCTCAGAAGGTTCCAGAAACCAGGTCTCTGTTGGCTGGGCTATTTTTCAGTCCCTGACCCTTCTTGGTCCAGGCGCTGGTGGCTCCCGCCTGTCAGCCCAGCGACTCAGGAGGCTGAGATCTGAGGATCGGGTTCAAAGCCAGCCTGGGACAGGCAAAAAGCCAGAAGGCGTGTGGTTCAAGTGGTAGAGCGCCAGCGTTGAGTGAAGGAGCTCAGGGCCCAGTGCCCAGGCCCTGAGTTCGAGCCCAGGGACTGGCACAAAATTGCAAGCACAACACTTTTCCTTCTCAATTTCCCTTCGGTCCTGGCGCCCCTTTCTGTCTGATACCCGGCTTTCCCTCGCCAGCACCCCCTTCCTCCAGGTTCTGGCGTGGATTGGGTTACAGCTAGCTCCGGCCTGCGCCTCCTGGGCTCCATCTCCACTTTCCTCTCTGTGCTGTTGCCTAGAGACCAACGGGTTGTGGGGGGGGGCTGGGACCAGGGGTGGGGGTGGAGTGGGCACCCCAAGAACTGCAGGAGGAAAACTCTACCCTCTTCTCCCCAATACCTACACCCAATAGTTGTATTTGTTATTTATTTTTAGGCTTAGAAAAGTCACCATCCAGCCCCCGACTGTGGAGCAAACAAACAAACAAACCAAACCCCAGCCCCCACGCCTCCCGCTCCTGAGGTGGCTGAGATCTGGAGGATCCCTGTCCAAAGCCAGTCTGTGCCCCGTGAAAGCGGCCCTTATCTGCCCTGAATCAGGGCTGGGCAGGTGGCTCAGTGGTGAAGTGCTCACCTAGCATGCATGAAGCCCTGGGTTCGATTCCTCAGTCCCACATACACGGAAAAAGCCGGAAGTGGCGCTGTGGCTCAAAGGGTAGAGCACTAGGAACAGCACCCAAACCCTGAGTTCCAGATCCAAGACTGTGAACACACACACACACACACACACACACACTCCTAGGCCCAGGAAACACTCCCTGCCTCAGTTTCCCAGAGCTTCTGGGATCTCATTTTAGAGTTGTGAGGCACTGCTAGACTTTAGCTTGAATGTGTTCCAAGAGAGGCAAGGGGGGGTACCAGGGGCCCCCCAACTCCTGGCCCCGTCCCAAACCTAAAGTCCTCCCCCTGCAGCTCTTCCAATCCCTCCCTCCCTCCCTCCCGCCTTTCCAATTTCAGCTGCCCCCAAATCACCCCTTGTCTCTGGCATCCTTTGTCCTAGCTTGGTGTGGGGGACAGGCGAGCCCCCCAGAATGCCCTGGCGGCTGGGTGCCGGCTTTGGGGGTGAAGGAGGGCTGCCTGTGGTTAGTTGGGGTGAGCTTGGAGTCTGAGGTGGGTCCAGCCCCCTAGTCAGCTCCACAGACAAGGGGGGCAGCTGGGGTGTGGGTGTAAGAATGGGGGTGCCCTCGGGGTGTGGGGGTCCCACTCCTGGCTCGCCCTCTCTTTCTCTCCCTCTGAGCTCCCCATTTCCAACATGGTGGCCGCCTTTCCCCTTCCAAGCTGCCCCCAGAGCCTGGGGGAATGGCCATGTTTCCTCATCCGTACTGCTCCCCTCCTTTTTTGGGGGGCCATTGGCGCAGGGCCTGTGCCCCCCGGCTTTTCGCTGGCTGTGTGTGCACGCTGGGCCCGGGCGCTGTCTGGGGGCTTCTGCTGCTCAGGCTGGCGCTCTACCACTTGAGCCACAGGCCGCTTGCAGCTTTTGGCGGCTCACTGGGGACGAAGGGATTTCCTGGCTCAGGCTGGCTTCGAACTGCGATCGTCGGGGCTCAGCCTCCTGAGCACTCAGGACCCGGGGGCCTGCCCCCTGCCCTTCCCCTTCCGGGGAACCCCAGGACCTGCCCCACCCAGACCTGCACCCCCAAACCCTCCTCTCCTTGGCTTTCCAAGAACCCCCAAGGCGCCTGGCCTGTGGGCCCCCCAGGTCCCCAAACGCCCCGACCTCCGAAGCTATCCCAGAAGCCCCTCCCTCCACCAGAACCCCAATCCCCACCCAGGACCCCCAGCCTGGACCCCCAACCCTCCCCCCAGCCTCCTCATCCTTCCCTCCCTCCTCCCCCAATCTACAGAGCTCCCCTCTCTCCTCCCCTCCCCTCCAGCCCCTCCTCCCCC